AGAGAGAGAGAGAGAGAGTATGACTTGGGGTTTTACTTGGGGTTTTAACGTAGCTTTAACAATTTTTCATTCATACCGCTACGATGTCTGCAGAGTGGCAGTTTATAGAGATGTCTAGCACTTGGGGATCATGTTATTAGCATGTAGCGTGATGTTCCACCCAATCACATTATCCTGACACCAGGCCCACCAGTCCTAACACTAACCTCTTAATGCTGAGCGCCTAGCAAGACAGCTGTTAGTACCATTTTATAAGTCTTTGACAAGACTCAGCAAGAGATTCGAACCCGCGACCAACTGCATCCGAGGCGGACGCACTAATAACTAGACCATCGGAGCAGTATGAACATGGATAGAGACAGACAGAAAGGCAGACAGAAAGGGAGAGCATCCCATTATTTATTTCCGAATTAAGGAAGGCCACCAAGCCTCCACCATCCGCTGATCAAAAACCGCTCACCCTCGGGTATACTGGATAAAATTACATGTGGTGAAATAACCCTTTATATATATATATATATATATATATATATATATATATATATATATATATATATATATATATATATATATATATATATATATATATAAACACTTAACCTAATATAATTAAAATGATTAAACACATAAAGGTGAATTTAAGGGTTTAAGGACTGGTTTCGGGGTGTATTTGTAGTTTAGTAAGAGACTCCATAAGGAAGGGTAGGGGCTCAATATACGGACAATGGGAATTTAATGTTACAAAATGGTCTATCTAATATACGGACAAGGGGAATTTAACGGGGGTGTAGCACTATACAGACAGGGAAAATTTTAACATATGAAATGTGATAGGCCTGTATAGGCCTCACGGTACTGGACACTGGCAACAATTGTGCAAGAGGCTGAGCTCAATCGTTTGGAAGAGTGGCAAGGGGCTGAGCTGAATACGTGCTACTGACGGGATAAATAGAGACAAAGACTTAGAGGTCTAGAGACATGGTTAAAGACAAGGTTAAAGACACAGACATAAACAGATTTATGAACGTAAATCTATCAATAAAAGTCGACTATAAATAGTGAAGGCAAGAGAGACTAGATATCTTTTCGAGCCTATGGAATAGCCCTAAAAAGAGCCTTTGGTTTTGTTTTCTTCTTTTGTTAGCACCATTCAGTTAAAACAGGGTTTCGCACGGAGCTTCTTTTCTTCCTCAAACTTTGTCTGATCTCTGGGTTGTCTCTGTGATCTGAGTAATTGCCCATGATGATCTGACATAAATGGGATAGTCCGGGTTGAACAGCATCGACAATAGGAGCGTAGACGATTCTACGTTAATCCATATCTTGTGACGCGAACAGGTGAATGGAATGAGTTGAACGGCGGTTATGCAATGCGGAGGAGAGCATCACAACGGATTGAGTTATGTCACCAATTTTAACACGCATTACAAAATTCAGTCATAATGCGGAGTCTGTCTTCCAATCCAAAGAGAGCTGTCAGTAGCGTCACATTCCCGATATATGTGCGCTAGCTTATATCCGCAGTGAATCCAACTGACAATGGTAAAACATGACGGAAACTAAGATGGTAATGAATTGGAGTGCACCGGCAGTGAAGACAAGTGATGGCATAGCATTGGCTGCCAAAGCAAACACAGTCCTACTTCCAGCAGATGAAGATTTTGATTTGAATTTAGTAGACTTTCTCTCTTTTCACAAGAAATTGTTCTTGTGCAGCACCTTCATCGACTTATCCTTCATTACAGTACATCAAGAATTTGAAACTGAGAAAAAAAGATGAATTAGAGAAATTTTCTCAACAGCCGACATACGCAGAACAAGCCTTTTTTATTCAACCGCAACAGCGAGTAGAAACAATGTTAAGGAGAGAAGGAGGACGGTGAAAGTCAAACAGTGACGGTACTCTTAGTTATGTTGGTGGACTTAAGGTGTTTAAAACAAATGTATCAGACTTATTTAATACGACCCAAGAGATAAAGACCTTCCCGAGCCCAACATTCCAACCATGTCAACACGCCTACTACGCCTGAAATACCAACACTAGTGATTTCTGCCAAACCATCCATAGTAGCAGGCCCAGAAGTAGGTCTTGGCCGTGGGAAGGCAAACCATCTACAGTAGCAAGCCCAGAAGTGGGCCTTAGCCGTGAGAAGGAGTTACGACTCATTACTTTCCGTTCCTGACTTTCTTTCTTTTTAAAATAATAAAAAACATACACCAACGGCTCTTTTCAGAGTCAACTATCTCTCTCGAAAAGAGACTACTCAATATTTGCTAAAATCAACTAAAACTCAAAACCCATTTTCTCGTCATCATGGACGTGTATGAGTGCGTGAGAGTAGGTTCTTATTATAAAAATTAAAACCAAGAGAAACTTAAACGTTTTTCTTTATGGTATATTCCCTGGTGCAAAATTATAATCCATTTACAATACATCACTTCAAAAAGTTTATTTTCTTTGTCTTTTCACACTCCGTTTTATTTTGAATTTCTTTACTCTCACAATTTTTTCCTCTTTTTCCTCACTTCTTCTCATCTTCTTTTCTTCTCTTTCTGAACGTGTATGGGTTCTTCCTTTTCGGAGGTACCTCTTCTTCCTGTTCGGAACCCATCTCCGGTTGCTGCTGTTTCTTAAGGCTGACTGAATACCAATGTCCTTGACAATAATAACTCTTGACAATAATAACTCTTGACAATAATAACTCTTGACAATTATAACTTGACAATAATAACTCTTGACACTAATAACTCTTGACAATAATAACTCTTGACAATTATAACTTGACAATAATAACTCTTGACAATAATAACTCTAGACACTAATAACTCTTGACACTAATAACTCTTGACAATAATAACTCTTGACAATTATAACTTGACAATAATAACTCTTGACACTAATAACTCTTGACAATAATAACTCTTGACAATTATAACTCTTGACAATCATAGCTCTTGACAATAATAACTCTTGACAATAATAACTCTTGACACTAATAACTCTTGACAATAATAACTCTTGACAATTATAACTTGACAATAATAACTCTTGACACTAATAACTCTTGACAATTATAACTCTTGACAATCATAACTCTTGACAATAATAACTTTTGACAATAATAACTCTTGACAATAATAACTCTAGACAATAATAACTCTTGACACTAATAACTCTTGACAATAATAACTCTTGACAATTATAACTTGACAATAATAACTCTTGACACTAATAACTCTTGACAATAATAACTCTTGACAATTATAACTCTTGACAATAATAACTCTTGACAATAATAACTTTTGACAATAATAACACCATCTCTTCTTTTCTATCTCTTTTAATGCCTATCTTATTTTGACGTTGTGGACATTCAGATGATTAATTCCTTTTCTTCTGACAGATGTAGCAAGTATTTTGACTTTTATCTCGAAAGGGGGAGTAATCTATCGGCTTCTCTGAAGAAAACCTTAATTTGACACATCTCAAAACTCTGATCAGACGTTCGATATGTGTTGGCTCTTACTGCTAGGATTGCGAGTGAAATGAATATTTTGAGGGAAGATACTGACCCTTTAGTTATCCCTGATGAAAAAGGCCGACGACCTAGCCAGCCTTTCGGGTGAGAAAAGGCCCTAGTACATGACATAGACTGCCTAAATGTAACGTGATGAGGTTTTCCTTTTGTGAATTGAAAACCTCTTTCGATGATTTCTCTATTTGAACCTGATTTGATCCTCTGCATACCACCATCAAATTTATACACTGGTTAAAACAATGCGAAATACAAAATAACATGATTCATTTTGATTTAGCTGATTGGCACTAATTTCAACCTTAAAGTACACTTTGCAGTGGCGTTAGCGTCACTCAGTGCGTAACTCATTATCTCATCCCCATGGACCTCCTTCTTGCACAAAAATTCAAACTTTTTGTTAACAGTCATGTACGGTAACTCATGCTGTCACCACCATGGGCACCCTTCTTGCACAAAAATTAAAAAATTGTGTAGACAATTTTGGTGTCACCCCCTCTGATGGTGTCACCCGGTGCGGTCCGCACACCCTGCGTAATGCCAATCACACTTTGTACACAAAATTCCAATTATTTGAATTAATTACGTAATGACATTTATTTAATTATATGATTTGGATGCTTGCACAGTATTTTTATTATAAAATCGTCCGTTAGAAAATTGACTGAACTAAATTTGTTTAATACAAGTACAAACTGGCGCTTCAAGTTCTTTGTTGCGCTTGAGCCTTCTGCCGGATCCCTTGCCTCCCTGCCTCTCTCGGACATTTGTACTTAAATGTGGAACAATTTCCACCCGTCTAAGTTATCACGTACCCCAAAGTGCGTTTAATCACAGAACCGGGGTGGCGCTAGAAATGACTTGTTTCCTAATAAGCATCTGGAGAGCAGATACAGACTATATACATGAGTGTGTGCTGGGTATATTCCCACTCATATTAGCCATACGTACAGGTCGGTTGGCATGAGTGTGTGCTGGGTATATTCCCACTCATATTAGCCAATCGTACAGGTCGGTTGGCATGAGTGTGTGCTGGGTATATTCCCACTCATATTAGCCATACGTACAGGTCGGTTGGCATGAGTGTGTGCTGGATATATTCCCATTCATATTAGCCAATCGTACAGGTCGGTTGGCATGAGTGTGTGCTGGGTATAGTCCCACTCATATTAGCCATACGGTTGGGACTTGACTGTTCCATGACCTGTTTGACTATATTAAACATGATGTGATTATGATTTTTAACGTAGATTTAACAATGTTTTAGTCATATCGCTACGATGTCTGCAGTGTGGCAGTTTAAAGAGATGTCTAGCACTGGGGCATCCTACCGCAGACATGTAGCATGATGTCCCACCTAGTCACATTGTCCTGACAAATGGCCAACCAGTCTTAACAAAAACCTCTTAATGCTGAGAGTCAAGCGAGGCAGCTGTGAGTACCATTTTTTAAAGTCTTGGGTATGGCTCGACCGAGGATTGAACCCACGACCTCCCGTATCCTAGACGGACGCTTTAACCACTGAGTCACTGGAGCATTTAACTATATTAAACAGCACTCTTTGAGTGCATAAATATGTTGGGCATATTGCTCTCTTTCCTTCCCCCACGAATAATTAAACAGCCTGCAGTGCAGGCTTAAACCAATCATACATGCCCTACCGGGCGAAAGCGACTTTACTGTAAATTCAATTTAATCACGCCATTCAACATTGAATAACAAAACAAAAATGGCAACTAATTAGGCCAACAAAATGCAGCAGTTGCATGAAGTGGTGGACGATATTGGGATGGTGGAGATGTTGATTAGATTGGAAAATGTATGTTTGAGTCCTCACCGAGTAAAAATGGTCAATATATTTTGTTTAAAAAAAAGCCAAGGAAAGATTAAAAGATATGATCAAGGAGGAAAATGAGGAAAACGAGGACAAAGTGGATAAAGAACAGACGATAAGATGGAATGACAAGATTGAAAAAGAAAAGAAAACTTAAAGAGGAAACAAGAGTAGAAGGAGGAGGATGACACAAAGAAGAAGACAAAAAATGTAATGGAGACGATGAGGAGTTGGTGGATAAGAAGAGAGAAAAGAAAACAGAACAAAGTTAAGATGCCCTTTTCAGTGCCATTTCATTGCTTCGATAAACAAATACATATTTTATTTTGACTAAACAATAATTAGTCGTTTTGTGTTAGATTTATGTTCATATATCTATGTTTGTGTAATACCTCTATGTCTCTGTCTCTAAACAGGTCTCCATGTCTATGTTTCTATAACAGTAGCGCGTATTCAGGTTAGCCCCTTGCCACAGTATTCCGCCCAAGTGAGGTCAGCCCCTTGCAACGTAGTCGGCAGTGTTCAGTACCGTGACTTCACCAATGTTCAATTCCTATTGTCCGTATACAGGCCCAATACATTCCTTATCTTAAAGTCCGCATAGTCCCCTTCCCCAATATTAAATTCCATCTGTCATTTTTGTTGATACACTCTTTATTAAACATTAAAGTCTCATTATCCGTATATCCCCCCTCCCGTCACTACTTCTACATTTTTAATGTACCTGCTCCCATCCACCTCACAGGGCCTCGTATCGATGCTTACAATTTACCGTCGTATTCATTATATAGTAGATGTATGACGGTAAATTGTAAGCAATGATACGAGCTTTTGATCCACCCCAACCTTAATCTGACCCTGTTTGGTACTAACACAACCATAAATACTGCCATGGCTAACGTTGCTGCTGTGAAAGAAAGAAAGAAAGAAAGAAAGAAAGAAAGAAAGAAAGAAAGAAAGAAAGAAAGAAAGAAAGAATCAGGAGTGTCGTTTATACCTACCCTGTCACTGTTGCTGGCATTCTATGTCCACTATGGTTGGCCAATTCAATGCTCCTTTGGACCAGTGCCATTTGATCTGGTTGTGACAAGATGTTCTCGTGCAAGGTAACGGAATCCACGGCGCAACACATATTCATGCAATGTGTGATATATGCTTTTCAATTGAAAATTAAAAGAGGTGTTGCCCTCAAAATGAGTCTTTAATATAAGCCTTTTTTCTAACTCGTCAACCGTCCCGCTTTATGGATGCACTGAGGGAAATCACTGCTGTACTTGTGATTTTAAAGTTTATACCATTGCACAACTTACTTGCAACTGTCCTGCAGTCATATCCTATTAATAGCAACAACATAAATAGGCGTTGGTGGACCGAATTATGATTGGCTAGTTTGTTGTTGTTGTTTTTTTTGTTTTTTTTATCTGGTCTGCCTCGAAGTCGACACTGAAATATTCAGTTTGTAAGCAAAATCCTTATTAGTCTGCTTCCCTGTTTGAGTGCGTTGTTCTTCATTTTCGTAAAGGTAGCGCTCTTCAGATTCGTATTTTGAAATGAGAAATTTAAAGAAAACGAATTTCCCCTTGCTTCCTCATTGGTTATACTGTATTTAGAAAAAATACTATGGATATCTTATGTATTTTTCAAAGACCTTTTAATTCGCTTTATTTTGTAGTATGATTGATGGGAATAATATAGGTTATAGAGTATACAGCTTGGCCTAACTCTAGATATGCATCTTTCAGAACAGTGCTAGCTCCACTTGGTCAGTTTCACTTCCTGAACTTCACAGTTTAATTGTAGAAGAAAAAAAAACTGATAACTTCTATTAAATTTTATATATTGGTAATTCATTCATTGCACTTTCTGAAGCTGTTATTGTCTGGCAAAATAATTTTTCCCTCTTTTAATAGCTGCTAAGGATAGTGTAATTTAGACAAATATTATTTGAGCACAAGGGAGCAGTCATTTTAGAAGTGCCCTCTGTAGTCCTACCACATATGACCCATCAAGGATAATGGTCTTATATTCTAACCAACGACGCTGATGTCGAAACTAGTCAAATTTTCATGAATATCACACAAAACTAGCAACCAATAACAACGCTTTTCTACAAAGTAAAGTTACAATGTTTTTGCCAGACTTTACTTAGCATGGTGTCTTTTCACTAATAAATTCAAATTCTTATAAAAGACCTGTTTTCAAATTTGGTTGGCTTTCATTTCAGTTGGCTGGAAAGCGATAAAAGCCGGCGATGCCAAAATTTGGTTAGGTTGAAATGTTATTCTTTAACAACACGAATAAAAAGTGATATATTATTCCTATTGAAACTGTTAGCAAAGTTTCGTTTCGTTCAAGAAACATATCTTCTAAATGAAACTACTTCATATAGTAGTAGGTATAACGGTACAATTGTACAACCCCAGGTGGGCGGAGCTTAAGGTGTAGGGAACATTGCATTCAGAAATAAACGATAAAACTAAAAGCTGTGATTGGTGCATTATGTAAGAGTTGTACTTTCTGTTAGGCTTTAAAAAAAGTTGAGTCTCTTAGCAACATGTGAAATTATGTTAATACATATCTAGATCACATTTTGTATTTTTTAAGATTTTTTTAAAATGTCGTACACATGACTGAAAATGTGTCCGGTGTAACTAGATAACTCTTACCCTGTCTAGTTCCAGTAGAGTTATCTCTCTTACATGTAATGAAGTACCTATTTTCGATGTTATCAAATTAACAATCTAACATTGTTCTTTGTGACAGTATGTGACATGCATGCTGAGGTAGGATAGAACGTATATTTATTTCGCAAAACATTAGCATTAAGGTCTATGGAAAAGCAATTGGTACCGTGATACCAGTATACTTCATATATAGCGGAGTACATCTCAGGAAGCATACTAAGCAGGGGACCAGACTAACTACTTTAACATACTTCGGCACACCTCGACTACCGTCACACTGCAACAAATTCAATTAAAATGCATCCATTTCATAGTGTCGTATTTTGATTCCACCCGGATAAAGACAGCATAATAATTACACTTACATTAGTGGAAGAATATCAGTAAAGACTGCCAAGTGTGTAAGATATTCCTGAAACTGACATTTCGTTACAATGTCAACGACATCGGAACAGGCTGTCAAAAGCCATAGTTTGGGCTGTATGACATAGTACTAATAGTAGTACCCTTTGTCCTCACAACAAAACAAGTTGAGGCTACGAGATCGTAATTTTGTATGACATAGCACTTAAATACAACATGTGCTTTGTCAAAAACAACAGCACAATGCGCTAAAATCATTTACAATTTCCAAAATGTACAATATTTAAAGAAATGTCAACGACATTACATTAAAGTAGCATATATAGCGTATGCCACCATTCTCTTTACAGTACATATTTTAATGCATACAACACTTAACAGTCGTTACTCTCTGGAAAGCACATAATAACTGGTGAGAGCCCCTATAAGCTAGGGGTAAAGCAGGGAGCAAACGAAGCAGAGAACTTAACTAGCGGAAAAGTCAACTCCAGACGTACGGGTGTTTTTTCAGAACTCACGGTAATGAGTCGGTGTCTATAATAAACCTTTGCAAACAACATGATATTAAAAATTCAATAACTTTTCGATTTTATGAATGATATATATATATATATATATATATATATATATATATATATATATATATATATATATATATATATATATATATATATAACAATATAGATGCTTATGAGCCATGGAAATAGTCGACCTGTAAGACCTAAACGATGATATTTATGTTCTAGACTTCTGGTAGAATTAAAACATAAATAACATGTGATATGTCTTATATTATAGTACTAGGATAAACTAGTAGTCCTACAATGTAAGACCTCTACACTGATAGTTATGATTTATGTATCGATGTCCAAAACATAAATATCAGAATCGAGGTCTTGCATTGTTGAACTAGGACTCATAGGTACTTGACATGAGATTGATGTTGACAAAAAGCTTTATTCTACAGAAGGAAAAAACAAGTTCAAATCCTTTGGAACTGAACAGGGAGAAGTGAGAACAAAAAAGAAGTTGAAGCGAAGCAAATAAGATTTCATTTCTGAATTATGCTGTCTTTCCCTAGTATGTATATATATGCATCAAACATTGGTTTTAAGCAATATTTTATTTTCAAATACTTATATTATAAACATGTTTTGTATGCATATAAAAATTCTCATATTCATATGCAGTGTATTTTGGCCACATGATTTCAGAGAACTAGAATTTATACATTGTAATGAATTTTAACTGCTTAATCAGCTACCCGTAAATAAGATTTTTTTTACTTTATGGAAGTTCATTATCAAGTGGCAGTTGAATTTGTAAACTTTTTTGGAACAACCCTGTGAAATGTACATGAGAGTAAATGTACACATCAGCATAACATTTTGTTTGTCTCAATTTCTTGGTTGCTAATGAAAGATTACTGTGTCTATTCATGAAGTATTAAAGTCGATGTATGAATGAACTGAAACCTTCTTTCTGCAATAATTTAAACAACAAACACTGGAGTGCATCTGTTTTTAGATAGAGGGGCTTTTAGAATGTATCTAATCACATTATAGTTTCGTTACAACAGTCCACTTGATAGGATTGCAAAGTTATAGTTTTATTATTTGTCTCTGTAGTAACATCAGGGACTGGTAAAATATTAT